TAAATACGGATTTGTACGGGAAAATTTCATATTTAGAGTATAGAATTGCTCCTAAAAGGACAATCTATATATTATTAAAAGGAGAGGAAAAAGCGCTCTCCTTAAGCTAAGTGGCAGCCTAAAAAAATGCCACATGGAATAATTGGTTACTAATTAGTTATTTAGTTTATAATTAGTTATTGGTTACTTATTATTGAATTTAAATACATATCAAAAAAGAAAATAATAAAATACAATAAAAAACTACCATATATATTAATTGGTTACTTTATTTGGATTAATAAATATAGATATCTTATAATTAAATATAATAAAAAAACGAAAAAATATATATAAAAAATAACTACCCATTCAAATTGGGTGGGAGTAGTTTCAAGTTTGAGTTTTTAAATTATTTTTAAATAAAAAACGAAATTAAAAAAAATAATGAATTACCAATTCAAATTGGGGTTTTAAAATTATTTTAAAATAAAAAAATGAAAAATCTATTTATATATAATATACATATAAAAAACGAAAATGATAAAATAAAATAAAAACTAACATATATATATATATATATATGTATTAATTGGTTACTTTATTTAGATTTAGTAAATATAGATATCTTATAATTAAATATAATAAAAAAACAACAAAAAATAAGTATATAAAAAATAACTACCCATTCAAATTGGGTGGGAGTAAAGTTTGAGTTTTTAAATTATTTTAAAATAAAAATCAAAAAGAAAAATTAACCTATAAAAAAAAAGAAAAAAGAGAAGAAAAATTGCCCATTCAAATCGAGAAGTAGTTTCAAGTTGGAGTTTTAAAATAATTTTAAATTAAAAAACAAATTAAAAAAATAATGAATTGCCAGTTCAAATTGGGGAGTAGTTTCAAATTGGAGTTTTAAAATTATTTTAAATTAAAAAAAACGAAAAATCTATTTATATATACATATAAAAAACGAAAATAATAAAATAAAATAAAAAACTACCATATATNTCGAGCGAGGTCGAACTCCTTTCTTGGCGAAGGCCGATGGCCGTAGGGGTGTTATTTCGAAGCAAGGTCGAAATTATAACCCGTTGTGAGTTCGAGCGAGGTCGAACTTCTCTCTTGGCGAAGGCCAATGGATGTAGGGGTGTTATTTCGAAGCAAGGTTGAAATTATAACCCGTTGTGAGTTTGAGCGAGGTTGAACTTCTCTCTCGGCGAAGGCCGATGGCCGAGGGGTGTTATTTCGAGCAAGGTCCAAATTATAACCCGTTGTGAGTTCGATCAAGGTCGAACTTCTCTCTTGGCGAAGGCCGATGGCCGTGGGGGTGTTATTTCGAGCAAGGTCGAAATTATAACCCGTTGTGTTATTTCCGTTGGGGGACATTACTCGTCGCCGTGTTGTATATGCGTGCATCGCGGCAAGCTCTGGTCCGCCTAATTTCGCTTTCATTTGGAGAGTACTGTGTGTTTCCTGGGTGAGTCCCAGCTTGCTCAATTTTGCTTTCATTGGAGAATGTCACATGCTTTATGGGCGGGTCCCAGTTCGCTCAAATTTGCTTTCATTGGAGATTGTTGGTCAAACAATTTTTTAGTTAATCAGTTGTTCTGTACCGATTCGTTTCTGTTGTTTGTGATTACGCTGCGGTTTAGTGGGTTCTGCTCGGTCATTACTTGCGAGGTGGTATGCTACGGAACCATTCCCTGGGGTGTTTTGAAGACGTTAGTCCCTTACTCGCGTACCCCCGTGAGTGCTCACATTCCTGTTTTGAATCAACAAAGAGTCCCGAGACCGGCGAGGCGAGCTTTGTGGAGAAGGGATCAGAGTGTGAACATCTTGTGAGTCCCCTTGGAGTTCGACGGTTTCCTTGGTTTCCCTGGTTTCCCTGGTTTCCTTGGGTGTTGTCGTTANTATTTATATAGAATAGGATAATCAAATAATTGTGATAGTTCCAAATGTAACATCAAAAAATTAACAAAGTGACAAATATTTTTTTAATATTGACCGCGTATCGCGCAGGTACGACTACTAGTTTTATACTTAAAGCTCAAACCCGAAACTTTTGATTGGATGATAGAGTATTTAATATTCTATCTTAATTCTTATTGGTGGTGCATCTAATAAATTACTCGTACAATAGTCAATTAATGAGAGCAACACGAAAACATGGTTGGGGTCCCAACTTCCTGGTTTGATAATCTATTGCTGCCCAACTACTTCAAAATTTTCCTTTTCTCCATTGAATTAGACTTCATGTTTATGTCTCTCACCCCAAATTTTAGAGTCTGTTTGGAAAGCCACTTAGGAATTGAATTTGGGTGTAATTGAGTGTAATTACACAGTTATTGATTTCCCCACTAGCTAGTTCATCTTGTGATCTTGCTAATTAATTTGGACCTCATCTGGATGTCAACACGGTGGGACTTCCAAAATTAAATTTGTTTTTAATTTGATCTATATTTATTATTTGAGACCAACAATTCATCATTCTCATTAAAAAAAAAAAAGACATTATTTTACGCCGTATATAATGAAGCTCAAAAGAAACAATATTTTTTTCCTTTCACCAAGTCTAAGCTTCAAATCCCTTTTGGTTCTTCGCTTCATCCGTTTGTATCTACACTAATAGCATAAATTGATTTTTTATACATTATTATTTAATCTGAAAACCAACCAGTATAGCAACTATATATCTAAGCTAATGTAAAATAGTCAATTAAGTAATTTGTTATAAAGCACCTCCACCCACAATCGTTAGGTCTTGGGTTTGAGTCACGCTAGAGGGGAAGTGTGGAAACACTATAGATTCTCCTAAATTGGAGGGATTTAAAAAAAAAAAATTTGTTATAACGGGTTAGGCTACGTTTTGATAGAATAACTGTAAACTACCAGATGCATTTTCCTTCCCATCTTTTTTTTTTTTAATTTCTCACCCGACGTCCGGTACTCATGTTATAGCTCTACTAAAGTCTGATTCGTATGAATATCTCACATGGAGGGGGTAAAACACTTCTAACAATGGCGAATTTTCCCCTCCCATCCAACTGTATTGCAGTAGAGCGCTTCAGTTAATATAAGGATGTTAAAATAGGATGACTAAAATAGGCACAAAAAGACTAAAAAGTCTAATATATATAATATGGTTATAGAAGAAGATTGGAACAAGTAAGCTTATGTCTAATAAATAGCTAGCCAACTACAAATACAAACACCAACCTGACCTACTTATTGAACTTCCATGTGTTCATAAAGGCACCAATGGAAACCAGGAAAATAATAAAGTTTCAATCCAGTAGCTGGCATGTTGATATAACTAACTACTACTTTCAAGTTTACAAGGATAAACTGAATGAGGAATAAGTTTTATATATGAAGACTATATATGGTTTCTTGTTGTAATGGTAAATAAATTGATATGCCTACGTTTCTTGTTAAAATGGGTAATGCATATTTTTTTAAGTAATTGGTTCTGCCCCCCTTATGTTTTCCTCAGCTATATTATTTAAAACAATTGAATGCTTTCTAGTTTGAAAAATAAAGAACTAGTTAAAATATTCCTTTATTGTGATGTTTTATTACACTGACTTTTCATTATTACTAAGGACGCATAAGGCAATAATATCATTAGAAAATTTATGATTTTGTATTAATTTTGCACCACCAATCTTTATATATTTCCCTAAAACTATATGAAATAAAATATTGAATATCAATTTTATACATTTTTTTTTATCTACTCAATATAAATAATTTTCGGCACGAGTTAAAAATGAAAACCCTAAAATTAAAGATAGTCTGAGGAGTCTAAGTATGCTAAAGATTAACATCACTAACTTTAACTGATAAAAGAGGGGATAGGCGTCTGATGTTTCTCTATAAGAATGGGAGGTTTACATGTTTTTACTTTTTACAAAGCAGAGGATAGATCTTGATAATTAAAACATTTATTCAAGAAAAATACTGCTCCTGTGCTTCGGATTACTACTATAAGTTCATTGGCCAAAAAGATCAAGTACATATATAATTTTTCCCAAAAATAATAAATGGCCACCGACCTGACAGCTTTGCAATTAATAGCATGAATAAATAGAAAGAAGTAATGTTGATAATGAAATTGAAGGACATAAAAAGTCTAGTTGGTTGAGAAGTGAGTCAAGATTAGTCCCAAATCTGAATAAGAAATTTCTGATATGATTGACATGCAAAGATGGAAAGAAAAAGAATATATTAATATTTACGTCAAACTAATAAATTCATTACACATTTCTTTTACATTTAATCACTGGTTAAAGATTATTTGATGTAGCTATCTAACGTCAGTAAATTTTTTCAGAGCAAATCCAATTTGCTTGTTTTTTCTTTGCACTTTAATATAATTTGATGTAAATATTGAGAGTCAGTAATATTTTTCTAAATAAGAATACAGTTACTTTCTTTCACATTTCGTATCGATCATTTCCTTACCGTCCCTCCTAATTTAGTAAAGTTTTGTTAATCAAGGCAAATCAAGCATGATTACTTCCCAAAATATGTAAACACATTGGGTCTGATTTCAAGTTTCCAACAAACTAAAAATAGTTCAAATCATTAATCAATTAACATTCAACAAAAAGAGTATTTATACAAATTTAAAAATTCTTGGTATAAATATCATCTCTGAGTGGGAAAAGATATAAACTTAATTTTTAAATTATTTAAAAAGAATTCACAAAAGAAAAAAACATCATGGAGTAAATAATTTCGAATCCGATAATTCTCATATATCGGTGAGAAAGTCAAAAGGCAAATTTGATCCTTATCTTCACGAAAAATGCAAAAGGTAATACCAAACACCAAACCAACAAATTTTTATCAATTGTAGCATTAAATTCCTCACCCTCCCCACACGCTAAACTCAAGGGTCTTTCTTGTCTTTTCACTAACCTCCATCCGAAAATTCCCAACTGTAAAAACCATCCTAAGGACTTTTACGTAACTTCACACTCAACCACTTTCATTTAAAACCAGACCTTCCCTCTCCTCACCCTCCATTCTTACAAACCAAAAAACCTCCCATCTTTCTCTCTGGAGTTTTAACAAAATGTCAGTTCCAAAACCCAAGAAATCCTTCCCGTCGGTGACGACATATGATACCACCGCCGTGAACCACCATTCCGTCGCGGCGGATCTCGACGGAACCCTCTTAATATCCCGTTCATCTTTCCCTTACTTTATGCTAGTCGCTATCGAAGCCGGCAGCTTTCTCCGGGGACTAATACTTCTCCTTTCTTTCCCTCTCATAGCCATCGCATACGTATTCGTATCCGAAGCATTAGCCATACAAATGCTCATTTACATCTCTTTCGCTGGCCTTAAAATCCGAGATATCGAGCTCGCTTCACGGGCTGTTCTCCCGAGATTTTATGCCTCAGACGTGAGAAAAGAGAGTTATGAGGTGTTTGATAAATGTAAAAGGAAAGTTGTGGTTACTGCTAATCCAACTATTATGGTTGAGCCATTTGTGAAAGATTTTTTGGGAGGAGATAAAGTTCTTGGAACAGAGATTGAGGTGAATCCGAAGACTAAGAGAGCTACTGGGTTTGTGAAGAGTCCTGGGATTTTGGTTGGGAAATGGAAGAAATTGTCAATTTTGAAGGAGTTTGGAGAAGAAATGCCTGATATTGGAATGGGTGATCGTGAGTCTGATCATGATTTCATGTCCATTTGCAAGGTAAATAATGATTACAAATTTAGTTGCTACTCGATCAGTACTCTGTTTTATTTTATATAATAACATGATTAATATTTGGAGAGTCAATCAGCTTTTTCTTTGATCACAATTTAATAACTACTATAAAAAATGTAATTTTGGCGTAATTGGTAAAGTTGCTGTCATATGACCAGGCATAAAAAATTTTGACGTAATTTTGGCGTTATTTTCACGGGTTTGAGTCGTGAAAATAACTTCTTGCAAAAATGTAAGGTAATGTTGCTGACAATAGACCTTTATTGTTCGATCCTTTCCCCCGGCCCGGCGCATAACGGGAGCTTAGTGTATCGGGCTGTCTTCAGTTTCCTTGAAAGAAAAATCTAAAATCCTTATTCTTTGATTAATGTGAACTTATTTGCATTAACTTTTAGATTGATATACTGAAATTCTCTATAAGTGTGAATCTTAGAAACACCGAGAGAGTGTTAATGAAGCTTTTGTCTCATATATGGGAAATCTAACAATATTTAAATCTTTGACGTTTAGATTTTCCAATTTATTCTTTTAGCAAATTGTATTTTAATATTAACAAGTGTTATGAGAGCTTGTTCAACTAGTGCATGACGTTGTTAACCAAACATATCTAATTTAGTGGCCACAGTTGTACGTTAAACTTGTGATACTATTGTTGTTTATATTATATTCTCAAGTAGGTGGCGTGAAGAATTCTTATCGATCTGATAATATTTCTTAAAATGGACCTTATCTTTGATTTCTTGTAAGAATCAACAAAGAGAAGAATAATACCTCCAATCGACACTGATTTACTTACAACTTTATAATTCAATAAATTAAATAACTATGTGGGTAATTGGTTACATGCCATTTAATGTGGTGGTTGAGATAAACATGTGAAAGTAAATTGTGAGGGGCCTAAAGCAATTACTCTCCTACCTGCCACTTTGCAGAATTCCAGTGGTCCTTCACTCTGAGTTGTGCGTCAATATGACTTTAGATTTGATATACATGTGAATAAAAGTAGTAGTAATGAAGGACTCGATAATTTGTTTGGTCATTTATGTATTGTTAGTAGTTGGTTTTTCTTTATTGAATAATAAATGCATGAAACCTCAACGTTACACCAATATTTCATTTGAACTTTGTGTTATGTATCCTTTCTAATGAATCATATTAACAGAAGCGGACCAAGGGTTTAAAGATCGAGGGTGTACTTTTGGATTGAATTAAAATTTGCTTTGTATATAGGGTGCCCACTAATATTATCTTACTATTTTCTAAAGACATACACATGCATACATAGAATTTTTACCGAACTTTACGGGTGCCCGTGATCCCTCTTCGTATAGCATAGGTCCGCCTCTGATCATGTACCACGTCCGAACCCAAGATCCCAGTCTCTTTGAATTCGAACCAACTAATAGGTGACCTACGTTGTGTTTATACTAACATAAATATGTTAAACAGGAAGGTTATATGGTTCTCCCTAGCAAATCAGCAGAACCAGTTCCACTCGATCGCTTAAAAAGCAGATTGATCTTCCATGATGGCCGTTTGGTTCAGCGCCCAACTCCACTCAATGCCTTAATCACCTATATGTGGCTGCCATTCGGATTTGCTCTCGCTATATTCCGTGTATACTTCAATCTCCCTCTCCCAGAGCGCATTGTTCGTTATACATATGCATTGGTTGGGATCAAGCTTGAGATCAAAGGCCCTCGACCATCTCCACCATCACCAGGAACCCCTGGAAACCTCTACGTGTGTAATCATCGTTCAGCTCTTGATCCTATTATTGTTGCTATAGCACTCGGGAGGAAAGTCTCCACTGTCACGTACAGTGTGAGCAAGCTCTCTAGATTCTTGTCACCAATTCCAGCAGTTGCTTTGACACGTGATCGTGAAGCTGATGCTGCGATGATTAAGAATTTGCTCGAGAAGGGTGATCTAGTGGTGTGTCCTGAGGGAACTACTTGTCGCGAGCCGTTTTTGCTGAGGTTCAGTGCTTTGTTCGCAGAATTAAGCGATAGGATTGTGCCTGTAGCAGTGGACTCTAAGCAAAACATGTTCTATGGTACAACTGTCCGCGGGGTTAAGTTTTGGGATCCATACTTCTTTTTCATGAACCCTAGGCCAAAATATGAAGTGAAATTTCTTGAACCATTGCCAAAGGAAATGACTTGCAAGGGTGGAAAATCATCGATAGAGGTAGCCAACCATGTCCAGAAAGTGTTAGGTGGTGTTCTTGGTTTTGAGTGCACTCAGTTGACAAGGAAGGATAAGTATATGTTGCTTGGTGGAAATGATGGCAAAGTGGAGTCCATGTACTCTAAGAAATCCTGAATTACATTTCATTTGGGGGGAGGTATTATATAGCTAATGGATTTGGGGGGGTTTTTGCCAGTAAAATTGTGTTCAACATTTAATAGAACTCTGCTGTTGAAGGGGTTTGTTTTTACATGATTCGTTACTGTATTCGTATTCAACAGACAATATTAATTGAAATCAAATCTGTGCTTAGACTAACTTTTCTGTGTTTTTCCTCCTTCGCTCTTCTTGTTTTTAGACTCAACTGCAATTTCAGGACTACTAAAATACATTTTATTTGTTGTTCAACAACAAAATATTTAATATAACTTGCAAGGTAGATCTCGAAATTTTGTTTGTTTCTCTTTTGGGGGTCCAAGTATTAGCTGTTGATTCTCTGTATTTTCTCCACTTTTAGCATTATTAATCTTTGAGAACTTAAAAGTCCTAATCATCCTTGACCACATGGATTTTGCTTCAGGGCATTAAAATCACCTCCAGCTGAAAGCAGCTAAGTTCAGATTTCATCCAATAATGTTCAACGTATAAAGTTTTGGAATATTTGGTCCGAGTGAAAGAGCAAAAGAATGTTCTGCTTCAGATGCAGTTTTGTCTCCTTATTTCCTTTAGAGCAAGAGCACAATAGAAGTAACCATAAACTTAAGCTTTCTAAAGAACTAAGGCTGAATCAATCGCAAGCTATACTATAGAATGAGAACTCCATTGTTTATTTTTGTTTTACCTTTTTGATTAGGAAAGGGAAAAAATATCGATTAAGCAAACATTTCCATTGGAATAAAAGCAAATCACTCGTGATTTGATAGTTAAATTTTCTGCTAATGCATGTTAATTGGGCAGTGGAAGGAGGGATGATTAACTAATTGACGTTAGTTTGAGTCATCCATACTAAGAATTGATTGATGTTGAATTAAGGGTTCATTAGAGGCGTTCGATGACTACGTTAACAACTTGTTTGGATGGTTGTTATGTATCATTCCATAATGTATTGTATTGTATTGTTCGATGAATCTATTGTTTGGATAGATGGTTATTTGCTGTCGTTTGATGATGTCATATACCAACAATACAAAGAATAAACTTGCTACACTACTAAGAGCCCGTTTGGACATATATTTTTTCACTTTTTTTCGAAAATTTGCCACTTTTTTCCGAAAAACTCCAAAAAGCTATTTTTCAAAATTTTCGCTCAGATCACTCACAAAAATTCAAAAACAACTCAAAATTATATTTATGCCCAAACACAACACTAATTTTCAAATACCATTTTCGCTTGAAAAAATATTTCATTTTTTTTTGGAATTTTACAATTCTTACGTCCAAACGCCCACTAAGAAATATACGATACAATGTAGAATTACTATATAAAAAAATAGGGTAAAAGATAATATATAATTATTTATAATAAGGAAGGGCAAGATAAAAAGGAAAAAGTAAGGTAACGACGCCACCACACTAAAATCCGTCGTTACATAATATGACAATTTTCGTCATTACGTAATGACAAATTAAACGATACGATACAATAAAATTAAAATAACAATCAAAACAAAATAATGTACTTAAAATATAAATACGATACAATACAGTTTTATGTGACAACCCTCATTTTCTTCAGGGTACAATGATACATATGCGTCACCGAGGAACCAAGAGTTTGGTGGTGAAAATGGACGATAAGGCTAATCGCCGCTTCTGTGAAAGCTACTTCTACGTACGGACATCGCACCTTGTGGCGGACTCAACGGGGTTTCCAGAGACGTGGAACTTCACTCGTAATTTTCCTTTGCTTATTTTTGTGATTCCTCTTACGGCGGCCGTCGATCGTTCTCCTTTAGGCGATACTGTTAAGGACTTGTTTTTCATTTTTACTGCCGAGAGACTACCTCCCCCGCTAGTTGACGATATTCGCGAGTGGGTGAGTGCAATTCTCCCCCATACAATGGGGATTCGTGAGTGGGCATCCTTCCCCGAGAAATGTAGGCGTAAGCCTCTCACTGGTGAGTCCGCCCCCCGCAGTCTTTCCCTTTATTCTTTGTCTTATGGTTTAATCTTGTCGTTATATGATTGTTTTTCTTTGTTGACAGGGAGGGTACGGAGGACGAGGGCTTCTCCGCTCGCATTCCGTCAGCCGGTGCCACTTGCCCGACCTACGTCGAGAGTCGCTGCCCGGCATGCGCCGAGAGCTGCTATCCAACCCACGCCGGCGGCCAAAACCGTTGAAACAAAGTCCACTCCTCGGCCAGAGACTCCGGTTCCTACTGTCCGTTCAACAAGCGAATCTTCCCGCACCGGTAGTGGGGAGGCCCCGTCGAAGAGGCGACGTGTGGTGTTGGAAGTGACTCCTCAGGCTGAGACATCTGCGAGGAGTGATCCTGCCTTGGTGGTGCCTAAAATTAGCGATGATGCCAACTCGGTCGCAGAGGCTACGCCCGTTATAAGTGATCAACAGGTTGGTGCGGCGGAGAGACGGAGTCCCGAGGCTGCCATTGCTGTTTCTGGTGGCCCTTCGACATCCAGGCCGAACCGTAATTCTTCCTCGGCCGAAGAGAGAGGAAAGGGCATTATGGTTGATGACTACGAGTCTGAATCCGACATCGATCCCGACGACGTTAGGATGTTTGAGGAGGGTTTTACCCGAATTGTGGTGAAAGCGTCACAGCACCCATCCCGAATATTAAAAATTTCATCGGACCTCAATCTCCTGCGGGACACGGTGGATTTTGTGCCGCAATTTGACCTTCTATGCTCTGCCGCAGAAAGCGCAGCTCTTCAGGGTGTCAGTGACGCTGAATTGTCACGCGGCGTGGCCGCGATGGGTCTAAGGGTAAGTTCCCTGATTTGGTGATATTGTTATTTTTGCTTTGTGATCTCGATCTTTACCGACTCATTTCTCCTCTTTGTTGTTAGTCTTATATGATGGAGATCGAGAGTGCTCGTAGGGCCGAGACTCGGGCCGTGATTTTCCTGAAGATGCTTGAGAAGTATCGGCGGTGTCGCAACAGATGCCGCGAGATGCATGAGCGGCTCAGGGGAGTACTGGTGCCCAATCCATTGGGGAAGAGTTAGAGATAAGGGATCAGGAGCTGATGCAGTCTATCCAAAGATGCAGTGAGCTCGAGGAGTTGCTCCGTGTCAAAGATGAGGAACTTGAGGTGGGCAAGAGGGTTGCTACAGAGTGCGTGGACCTTCAGGCGAATGTATTGTCTTTGCAGGCCGAACTCGAGCAGAATGCCACCAGAGTTGAAGCTTTGAGTGCAGAGTGGAGGAGGAAGTTGGCCGAGCTAGAAAAGAAAGTGGCCGAAATGGAGAGTGCCGAGGATTCTCGGTCATCAGCCTTGGCAAGGGCGGCGGCGTTGGAGGATACCATCCGCATCCTTAAGTCTGAGCAGGAATCTGAGAGGGCTACGGCCACGCTGAGGGAGGTGTGGCTTGAGGAGCATATTGGTGAAATCAACCAGGAGGCTTCGAGCCTAGGAGACCGGGTCGTGACACTCGAGGCCGAGAAGGAACAACTATTGACCCGGATCGATTCTGCCTCGGCCGCGGTCCCACGCTGCTGTATGAGTTATGGGTCCACGATGAGGCCCAACGAGATATTTACAAGGGTTTGTTGGAGGCGGGGATTGTCCTAGAGGCCACCTTTGAAGTTGCTCGGGCAATGGCACGCGAGGCTCGTACTGCCTGTGGGTACGACCCTGTGACTTTGGAAGCCGGGGGGACACGGAGATCGGGGGTGAGCTCCCTTCTGATGATGATGATGGCGTTAGGCGAACGACGATGGAGATGATGCGGAGTGAAGCTTTTGTTGCATCTTATGTACTTAGTTTTTTTGTGTTGTTTTTTCGTTGTTTACTTTTATCTTTCCTTAGGAGCCCGTTTCAGCCCTATGTAAGGCGCGACTGCCACACGTGTACGTTTGAATAAAGTGGTTGTTTCGTCTTCATTTGAGTATCTTTTGATTTTCATTGTGATGAGTCCCTGACTCTTTTGATTTCGAGTTCGGACTTGCGGGTTTAAGCAAGGTCGGCTTCCGATTTGCCAACTTAGGCCGAGCCAATCTTAATTCGGACGGGGTCAAGTTAACATTCGTCAAGAGGTCAAGAGTATAACCCGTTGTAATTTTGAACGAGGTCGAGTTTTCCTTTTGACGAAGGCTGATGGCCGTAGGTGTGTTATTTCGAGCAAGGTCGGAATTATAACCTGTTGAGTTTGAGCGAGGTTGAACTTCTTTCTTGGCGAAGGCCGATGGCCGTAGGGGTGTTATTTCGAACAAGGTCAAAATTATAACCCGTTGTGAGTTCGAGCAAGGTCGAACTTCTCTCTTGGCGAAGGCCGATCGACGTAGGGGTGTTATTTCAAGCAAGGTCAAAATAATAACCCGTTGTGAGTTCGAGCGAGGTCGAACTCCTTTCTTGGCGAAGGCTGGTGGCCGTAGGGGTGTTATTTCGAAGCAAGATCAAAATTATAACCCGTTGGAGTTCGAGCTAGGTCGAACTTCTCTCTTGGCGGAGGCCGATGGCCGTAGGGTTGTTATTTGAGCAAGGTCAAAATTATAACCCGTTGTGAGTTCGAGCGAGGTCGAACTCCTTTCTTGGCGAAGGCCGATGGCCGTAGGGGTGTTATTTCAAAGCAAGGTCAAAATTATAACACGTTGCGAGTTCGAGCGAGGTCGAACTTCTCTGTTGGCGGAGGCCGATGGCCGTAGGGGTGTTATTTCGAGCAAGGTCAAAATTATAACCCGTTGTGAGTTCGAGCGAGGTCGAACTCCTTTCTTGGCGAAGGCCGATGGCCGTAGGGGTGTTATTTCGAAGCAAGGTCGAAATTATAACCCGTTGTGAGTTCGAGCGAGGTCGAACTTCTCTCTTGGCGAAGGCCAATGGATGTAGGGGTGTTATTTCGAAGCAAGGTTGAAATTATAACCCGTTGTGAGTTTGAGCGAGGTTGAACTTCTCTCTCGGCGAAGGCCGATGGCCGAGGGGTGTTATTTCGAGCAAGGTCCAAATTATAACCCGTTGTGAGTTCGATCAAGGTCGAACTTCTCTCTTGGCGAAGGCCGATGGCCGTGGGGGTGTTATTTCGAGCAAGGTCGAAATTATAACCCGTTGTGTTATTTCCGTTGGGGGACATTACTCGTCGCCGTGTTGTATATGCGTGCATCGCGGCAAGCTCTGGTCCGCCTAATTTCGCTTTCATTTGGA